CTGCCGCACTGTAAAGGGAGAAGCTGAGAGCATAGTCAAAGAAGAGCGGAGGTCAGACATATCAAAGGAGTCGGTCAAAACCCCGGTATCTGTACCGGGTGATGAAACAGCACCAGCAAGAGGTTCAGGGGCATTAGAAATATCCAAAGAGTGGTCAAATAATGAGGCAGGATCGGAACAGGGTGCGGTATAAGTAAGGGGCCCGGGATGAGCAGGTTCATGGATTTGGAGGAACAGCTCCCAGGAGGCAAAAACAGACTGTAAATTCCCTCTGCACTCAAGAGGACCCCCAGCACTGCAAGTAATGCAGATGCACCATGGAACCCATGCCATACCCTACCCTTCATGCCAGTAAACCAGCAATCCGGGATAGCAACCTCACATCCGCCGAGCCACCTCGGTGGACAAAAGAGAGGGCAGCCAGACAGCCACCACAAAGCATACCTCCTTCGGCCACCACCCCCTGGAATCTGATAGGCAGCCTCCAGAGATACACCCATCACCTGAAAAGCACCCAAAGCCACCCCCGGGAGACTGAAGAGGGAACGGGACACCTTCAGGTAATCCAGATTCCACAGCAAACTACACCACCACCAAGGGCCTCAACGGAATGGGATGGACTCCTGTACCCGTCCCCCTACCTAGGAACTAGAGTGCCTGTGGGAAGAATCCCAAAGGTTGAAAATAGGAAGGGAACAGGGAAGGGATGGGAAGGGGGAGGAAAGGGATAAAGGGGGGTGGGGAGGATGGGATAGGGAAGGGGGGACTGTGGAGTAATTTGATCTCCTTCCTCAGATCGAATCTAAAGGTCTAATTCCTCAGACCAAGAGCCTCTTCACAGTGCCAAGGAGCTCCCACTGAAGAGGAGCTAGAAGCAATATCAACATTTCCACCATGAAAAAGATCCTCCATCAAAGACCTCATTATGGAGCAAAATCCCACACTTCTAACTTTCACAGCAGGCATCTATACCACCCTCTGTAGACAGTCCCAAGAAATGTGTAAGGAACCCAGCAGAAGTCTATTGGGCCACTTAAGTGAGCACAGAAGCGCCTGCAACAGGAACAACTTAGAGAAAGAATGTGTCTTTCAGAGAAACCCTACGAAACATTTGATGAATTAGAAGAGGCACAACTCATCCTCACTGAACACGACCTTAGACATCAACAGTGTCTAGAAGCCTCAAAAACTGCAATCATTGACACTGTGGAACATCATACTAGAAGCTTTCAAATTTCAGATATGCTGGCATGTACAATACTAAATCAGACTGATCCCCAGCTACCTCATTGCATAGGAATCACCTGTCCTCATGGGCTACCTGGCACCATCTCCTAAAACCTCACTTACATCTTCATCACGTCACAGCATATCGCTCACACCTAATTCCCGGACTATATATACTGTCATTTTTGGCAGGACTGAAACGTTTTCAAACAAATATGTCCTAGTGTTTTTTCACATCTTTTGTAAACTGTCATAACACCATAAGAAGGAGCACTGCTGGTGCTCCACACTAGACAGGTCCAACCCACTCATGTACATATTTGTCTAACCTGTTTTTAAAGCTACGCAAGGTTTTAACTTCAATGACATTACTAGAGTGTTTGTTCTACTCATCCACAGCTCTGTTACCAAACAAGTACTTTCTCTATATCTTTTCTAAATCTCTTTTCCTTTTTCAACTTGAACCCATTGTTGCAAGTCTTGTCTTGGATAGATATTTATACTATGTTTTTTATATCCCCTTTATTTATTCCTGTCTTCCATTTATACACCTCAATCATATCCCCTCTAATTCTACAGCTTTCATTATAATTATCAATCATTAATCATTAGTAATCATTTTCACTATTAATCATTTTGCCATTTTATTAGCCATTATCATTATTAATCATTAAACATTATCATTAATTATTAATCATCATAATTAGTCATAATTATCATTATTAATCAACCATTATCATATTAATCATTAATCATTATCATTAATCATTCATTATGAATCATTATCATCACTATTGAGATATGGTTTTTTGACGGAACTCTGCCAAGAGTACGTTTTACAATACTACATACAACCTAGGTACACCACAGAATATTTCTTGTGCATATCATTATTTTGGGAAATACTGTGTATTAGCAAAAATGGTAAAGCCATTTTGTTGGGGAGCACATGTGAGCCACTCCAACAATTAATTAGGTCTTGTCAATAACTGAATGAATGTGAACATAGATATGCCAGACCTTTGACAGAGGTAAGGTTAAGTCTGGTTATTTTGGGTTAGGTTAGGTGGGTTTTGTTGGATCTGTTTATATTATTTTGTTTACCATCTGCACAGCATAATACTACAAAAACTACTACGTAAATATTTTACAATTCGAACTATAATAAATGGTTGAAATTGGCCCAGTAGCAAGCGTAAACAGCTACATTACTTTTTTATATACATGTACTCTGTCTCCCACCGAGGTAGGGTGACCTGACAAAGAAAATACTAGCCTAGCCCCTAGCACTCAAAACCTCCTTTACTTCCTTCTTCCAACCTTTCCTAGGATAACCCCTACCCCTCCTTCCCTCCATCACAGATTCATATGTCCTCCTAATCATCGTGTTTTTCTCCATCCTCTTTAAATGTCCAATATTACATTTAGAAAGTGCTAAACCTATATGGGTAATGCAGCACCTTGGACACGGGAAGTAATCAGTCTCTATCCAATGAAGGAGATGCTAAGTCCAGTTCCTTACATCCAGAGCCCCTTGCTACCCTCAAAGAACCTTCCTTGAGGGGGCCTCCCATGTGCAGACTCAGGTAAACTCCAGGTAATGACAGATGTTGCCGAGACTAATTCAGTTAATCACTGCACTCATTACATCCCTATAGTCCCTGTATTTGAAATCTAGTAACACCTCTTAATTTACCCCAGCCTCTTTTTATGCTCACCCGTATAATAGTTTCCTCCCCTCTTTGAGAGGTTCTGATAGTTAATTTTTGATCTCCTCTTCCCCAATTCCCAGCTGCTACAAACTCACACAACAGTTGTTTAAAATATAACATGCTGTCATCTAATTATATCTTTAAAAGACTACCAGCCTGTAGCAGTTGGAGTGCCACAGGGCAGTGTACTTGGCTCTCTGCTCTTTCTCATTTATATCAGTGATCTCCCCAATGCATTTTATCTCCTTAACCAATTCTATTCACAGATAACACTACTTATGTCTTCTCCACCTCAAACCCAACTATGCTTAGTGATGCTGTTAACAATGAACTACTAAAAATATTTACATAGATGACAACAAACAAACTCACTCCTCTATAGACAAAACCTACTGTTTGGAAACAGAGCCTTAATATCCAACTTAACATATTCATAAATGGTTCCCCATTACAAGACACACTGAGGTCAAATTTTTAAGTCTACACCTTGACTGCAACCTTAAATTTCAGACTCACATCCAACATATACCCAAGAAGATCTCCAAAACAGTAAGAAAAATACGGTAATATGTACCCCAAATGGCACTACTTACACTATACCACTCTCTAATCTACCCTTACCTCACTAATGGCATTTGTACTTGGGGATCTACTACATCTAATCACTTAAACCATTAATAACCTAAACAAAAAGCTGCTGTGCAGATGATCACCAACTCCTGCACCAGACAACACACCCCTCTGCCCTTCAAGAACTTGAACGTACCTAATATACAAAATATGACTCATATTATTGTGCCTACTATACATATAGAACATTAAACTCCAGTATAAACCTTCCTCTCAAACTTCTTGATAGCTACAACAGAACACACAGGCACAACACAAGCAAGACACACACTCTCTTTGACACCCCTCGTGTCCATCTCACCTTATACAAAAATGCAATGCACATAAAGGACCCCAAGATCTGGAATTCACTGCCCAAAACAGCAATGAATTTCAATCAGTTTAGGGTTATAATAAAAAAAAATCTCATCTCCCAAGCTTAACTATACAGCTAGCCCTCCACTTTCACGAGTTCAACTTTCGCAAGCTTCAAAGATTCGTGCATGCCCATCCGCCCGGTTTTCATGTGTTTTATGTTACGTTTTCATGTATTTTATAATTGTTCGTGGTTCAATAGGTTAAAGAAGCAGTACTGTTAGGCTAAGTAAATGCCATTATTATATTTCCCTACAATATATTTGCGCATCAAAACATTCACGAACACCACAGTACATTATTGTTGTATTTCCCTACATCATATTTGTGCACCAAATATTCGCAAATTTTCAAGATTCGCAAGGTTCTTGATCCCCTAATCCTAGCGAATGTGGAAGGCCTCCTGTACCAACACATACTAAATCATTCAACCATTTGGAAACTACTCAAGAAATCCCAAAATACTTAGGACAGCTAGAGCTATATAAAATATTAACATGCTTAAAATTGTAATGTTGTAACATTGTAAATTGTACTAATTTTAATACTATTTTTATTTTATTACTTCTCTTCTATATATCTTATTAATTATAATATTTTTGGCTAGCCCTCTATTGTAATAATGTAAATAATGAATAATTAAAATTTACTACTTCATAACCTATGTCTAGTTTTAAGTAGTGTGGAAGCACTGACTAGTCTGCCCAAAATGCTCAGGCATGTTAGTGACTTTCTTTATACTTTACAACATTTTATGAAATGTAAATCATACAATGTACCTTTACAAAGAAATAAAAATTTGTATTTGTATCTATCAGAGAGCACATATAATTCACTTCCAACATCTTCAATATCCTAACACACTAACAACTGACTTCCTCCTTAAAGGTCCAACCTTCAATACTGACTCATATTTTGACATTTTATAAACTGACCTGTTGCACCAGTTGACATAAATTTTGCACATGTACTAAGCCCAGACTCTGCTACTAATGACAGCATTGAATTAATAATATTAGCAACTCTTATGTTTTTTTAATAAAATGGTAATAGAAAGTATCTATTCTATTTTTTCAGGCGGTCATTGTGCCAAGAGGAATTCTGGTGGTTGGTGGTACCGAGGATATCGTGGGTGCTACCAGGCTCATCCTACTGGCCGCTACCAGAATAATCCGGGTGACCCACCCAAAACCTCAGTGGAATCCCGCAACTTTGAACTAGGACCTGTGTTGGTGTGGCAAAACTGGCGTGGAGAAAGTTACTACCCGAAGACCCTTTTTATGATGTTCCGGCCGGCATTGAATTAAAAGCAATCCTGGAGTGGGAGATGGTGCTGCACTCCCAGATAAATCACTTCTGAGGGTTTTCTTTCTTTTTATGGGTTTGAACCTAACTGTCTGAGAGTTCTATATTTTGATCTGAGTGAGCACTAAAGAGAAATAGCACTGAGGTAGGTTGCTCTTCTCAGTATCACAGCTGTATTTTATTATTAATGTGAGTTGGTTTTGTTAACTGAGGTTTGGTATGTATTTCTTAGATAACTTTATGGAGTTACTTTGAATCCATAATTAATCACAGCCACCTTATGAGAGCAGGTAACCTCGTACATAATTTCAAAACTTTCAACCTGTATTAGTTTATTCATGGTTGTGTACCTCATTACAAAATTCATCAGCATAAAATTTATAATAGTGAATGGGGTAAGAGATGGGAGTGTAAGATAAAATACATAATACAGTAGTAATTATTTTTTATTATGACACCAGAGATGGATATTTTTTCAGAATGTCCTTGTTCAAAGGCACTGGCATTTCACCGATCAAAAAAAAAATAATTTGCTGAATTATATATTTAATGCTCTTCCGTTTTGAGAGTAGTCGGAACGTTCAGTCAAGGCATTCCTCTGCCTAGCACAGTGCCAAAAGACTGGGATTTTTTCACCTGCCAATTTTTTCATACATTTTTGTTCTCCAAATCATCAAAAGTCAATAGTAATGAAATGGGCATGGCAGAGATAGGGAAAAAAAAAAAAAGATTTGCAAACAGCTTCTGCTTAAGGAAAAATATCTCCCTTCATGAGGACATTACTCAACATGCAGAATCAAACCTACGAATTTCTCAAATGGAATGATAAGATACTTTGTTATAAAGGAAACCTTTATCCATACAAGACCAATTCTCTAACCATTAAGGCCCACTGTCATGTCTCTGTACTGCCGTGTATCTGTTGTGGTAGGATTATTGTAGTTTTTAGCTTACATAGAACCTTCTCAGTATTCTTGAACATCTCACTTACCTCCCCAGCTCAGATTATAACATTCACCTCTCTTTCCTTATATAAAATTTACACACAATAATTTTCTTCAAGATAGCTGAGTAATTAATCATCTAAAACTTCATCTGAGTAAATCCTACATTTAACAATCCGCACAAAATGAGATAAACACTTCATACTCCCAAGTTCTTCCTCACATGGGATCAATAGCCGAACATTAATGGTAATAAATATGACCCTGATGTTGGCTCATGTGGCTTGAAAAATGTATTAAGGTTAATGATTGTGTTGTTGGCCTGTGTCAGTCTCATGACACTTTGGACTTTGTTTTGTGACCAAGTGAAGATTTCTTATAACCAATTATTTATCGATGTTCACTGTAGTGTCACTCTGCACAGTTTCTTTTTCTACATTCATCACATCCAGGGGTATGGAGAGACTGAGGTTACCAGTTCTTACTCAAGCAGCTGATCTTAGGTAAAGTCTACGAAGCTTGTTGCAGCCTTATGCGATACAGAAACACTTTTGTAACTTCACTACTGTGTGAATAACAGATTAAGAATTAGTACTGGAGGTGAGGGCAGCAGTTTCATACTGAAAGTGAGGTCAGCAAATTCCTTTCATATCATTCTGTGTTTCATCTAAAAACTATTTTTCCACCAGGAAGGATATCTGATCATCAAGTTCTAAAAAATCTTATAATGGCTCACTAAACACAGTCCATGATATACCTTTATAAACAGAAGAACCAGTTATCTAACTGGTCTTCGTCTCTGGTTTGTAAATGTTGTGTGTCATTGGTATTACTGTCTTTGACTATCTGAATGTCTCCTACATAGTAATCATGATGTGAACAACAAAATCTTGGCCATATTAATTATTATAATAGTGTTCAAACACAAGGAAATAAATACCACTTAATGCACTAAAACACTGAGATTAGGGAGGATGAGATTTATGTAGGAATATTTATCAAAATAATTATTTCTTTTTCTCTAAACTTTGAACTTTGATGAAAGATTCAGTTAGTGCATGCATGACATACAGTATTAGGGAATACCATACATAATAATCCTACAGGTAGTTGATTTAGTAATTAATCTTATGTCTACCTTCTACTTATTAGAGTACAGTACTGCCAAGAATGCGGTTCATTTTAGTAGTTGAGTTTTTGGAAAAATGTGGATAATTTGGCTGTGGACAATTCTTCCTTTACATCACAACTCACTTGCATACTTTGTCTCAGAGGATTCTGTTCTATTACTAAAAAAAATGTTTTCATACTATTCTTCTGTAAATTACCATCTGTATATTTTTTCATAATTGACAATGGTGTTTTGTGACAAACGAAGCTGCTGTCTACATCAAACTATCAACTTACTGTCAATAATGGGTTACTCAGTGACACGGAGTGCTTGGTTCTACGTTAAAATTATTAAATCCAAGTATGTTTTCAAATAAAGTGATATATGCCATACTTACCGAACTTAAGTGACATTATTAACCCATTATTAACAACAGTCACTTTATATTTACAGTTACTGTAGTTATTAAACTCACTACAGTATATAGCCATCACTACATCTTTTGTCTTAAGGATCCTTTTCACAAAAATCTAGTAATATTTCATTAACAGTATTAATAATAATGATGATAATGTGTATTTTCATAGATATGGATCAATATTGTCTCTTTGAAAACATCAAAAAGACTGAAAATTTGGATCAAACAGCTGTACAACGCATCCATGAAGGAGCAAATACCAGAAGCCAAAAATGTGTGCCAAAAATTTATTCTAGCTGTATGACTTATTGTAGGCCTTAAATTGTAGTCCTGTCTTGTGAATAAACTTTATACTTAAAAAACATTCATATAATTTGTTTAATATCACCTATTCAAAATACACATTTGTACCAATATTAAACATTCTTATACAAATCAAGTGCAAGTGTTAAGCTCCAGTGCCTGGGCTCTTCTTAATCTATATTTGATTGCTGTGATGTATTTCCCAACACCATAAGAGGTTATGTTTACCTTTGAAATATTATCATCAATCATGGGGAAGAGCTAAACCCATAGGGGTCATACAGTGCATAGGAAATGAGATGCAATTAGCTTCACTGCAAGGAAGGGGATCAAGCGTCCCTCACCAGCATCTGTTACACAAGTTATGTGTTGTAACTGAATATCTTAAACACAACAAATGGACCATCAAGGTAAACACCTCTGAAAATGTTTCTCCAAGAATCATGTAATACCAACAAGTACCTGAGAAAGACAAAAATGCATCGATTCAATGATGAAAAAAAGAACACCAAGTAAAGAGTGCCCAATCTACTTGCTTGAATTTCCACTGCAAATGGCAAGGCGAATAAATGTTCCATCATAGATTTTGAAGGTACAGTACACTAAAAGTTTTCAAATGACAAAGTAAACTCTGATATAACCACACCTTAAATACAAGATGTGGTTATATCAGACACCTGGAATGAATGCCTGTTGAATTATTTTAACCCTTTTACTGTCCAGACCTCTCAAATAAAACTGGCTCTTAACCCTTAAACTGTCCAAATCTAGATCTATGTTCATTCGCATAGCGCTCCGAATATTTTGAAAAAAAAAAAAATCAAATGAAGAGCGCATTTTTCTACAAGTTATAGGATAAAAAAAAAATTTAGGTCAGTACTTACCGACATATAAGCCTGTGAAGTTGGTGCTGGATGCTCACCTGACGGCAACATCGACTTCTGCCACTTGCATTATTATTATTATTATTAAAATCAAGGGGGAAGCGCTAAACCCGGAGGATTATACAGCGCCTGGGGGGGGATGTGGAAGGCATTCAGGCTTAATTCGGGGAACTGGAGCACAGATCCAATTCCCTAAATCAAGAGCCCCTCACCAACATCAAGGAACCTTCCTTGAGGGGCTGCCACTTGCAGAAGCATTGCCGATATACCTTTTTTTCATTTTAATTTATATATTTTTTATGTTCTGTTAATTACAATTTATAATAGTTCTTGTGATTTCATAGCCAATCTTTGTTCTGACACTAATATTAGGCACTGAAATAGTACTCAAATAGTCACAATCAAACTGACAGGTGAACATTTTCACCTGCCTGGGTCATTTACTATTGTCTAGAAATATATACAAAGTATTTATAGGTCCCAGCAATGTTTTAGACATGCTGGAATATACCTTGAAGCATGGTGTTATGACAAGTGTCAGTAAACTGTTGACAGGCAGTGACACTTGATGAATGTGCATTCAGGGAACCCTTGCTTCATTTTTCAGTTACACACAAACATGTCTGTCTGTCTGTTTATCTATCTGTTTGTGTCTGTATATAGACAGAGATATAGACAAACAGAAACAGATAGACAGAGAGACAGCCAGAGACAGACTGCACATACCAAGTGTTAAGACCCATTCTCTCGTGTCTAGGCGACTCAGGCCTATCGCCCCAATTTTGAAGGAATGAAAAATAAATCATTGATCTACGTTTGGAGCGCTACGTGAGCAAATGTATATCTACGTTTGGACAGCTTAACCCCTTCAGGGTCCAAGGCCAAAATCTGAAGTGGTGCTCCAGTGTCCAAGAAATTTTGAAAAAAATAAAAATTATTTTTTTCTTACAGAATAAAAGAGCATATTTTTGTGAAGGTAATAAAACAAAAAAAAATTTCTGATCAGTACTTACCGAGATACAGTGCCAAGAAGTTTGTCCAAAATGATGTGGTGGCGGCAACATCGACGAATTCCACATACGCGCATTACATTATTTAGCGATTTTTATAGTTTTTTCTTTTCTTTTCCAATTTTTTTCTTTTCCTACTAACATTTGGGGCCTGAGAGACCAATACTGTATATAATGTATATATATAAACTCACTGTATTGAACACAATAACCGCACCCCCAACAAGGGGGTGGCACAGCTATATACTACTCAGACCAACTAGAATGTATCACTAATACTTGCACAAGGGATGAACATGGGGAATATATAATAGCTAAATTCAAATCCAAATACCTACAAAAACCTCTCACAGTGATAAACATCTACAGAATTGTCTAGAAATATATACAAAGTATTTATAGGTCCCAGCAATGTTTTAGACATGCTGGAATATACCTTGAAGCATGGTGTTATGACTGTATCAATCGCATCTGCTAGAAAAATGACAGGATGGATAATGAGAACCTTCAAAACTAGGGAGGCCAAGCCCATGATGACACTCTTCAGGTCACTTGTTCTATCTAGGCTGGAATATTGCTGTACACTAACAGCACCTTTCAAGGCAGGTGAAATTGCCGACCTAGAAAATGTACAGAGAACTTTCACGGCGCGCATAACGGAGATAAAACACCTCAATTACTGGGAGCGCTTGAGGTTCCTAAACCTGTATTCCCTGGAACGCAGGAGGGAGAGATACATGATTATATACACCTGGAAAATCCTAGAGGGACTAGTACCGAACTTGCACACGAAAATCAATCACTACGAAAGCAAAAGACTTGGCAGACGATGCACCATCCCCCCAATGAAAAGCAGGGGTGTCACTAGCACGTTAAGAGACCATACAATAAGTGTCAGGGGCCCAAGACTGTTCAACTGCCTCCCAGCACACATAAGGGGGATTACCAACAGACCCCTGGCAGTCTTCAAGCTGGCACTGGACAAGCACCTAAAGTCAGTTCCTGATCAGCCAGGCTGTGGCTCGTATGTTGGTTTGCGTGCAGCCAGCAGCAACAGCCTGGTTGATCAGGCTCTGATCCACCAGGAGGCCTGGTCACAGACCGGGCCGCGGGGGCGTTGACCCCCGGAACTCTCTCCAGGTAAACTCCAGGTAATCAAACATTAGCCGATTTAGTCAAAACCTAGGAAGTATGATAACTGATGCACGCATGAACAAAGATCACTTACTACTCTCAGGTGACTTCAATATAAATCTCCTGCAAGACCAGGACCCACACGTTACTGAATTCACAAACACAATGAGTAACTGCATGTTGCTACCAACAGTAACAAAACCTACAAGAGTTACAGAGACTAGTGTTTCCCTACTTGACCACATCTGGACCAACACCATATCCCCTTTAAAATCAGGCATAATTACAGATAATACCACAGACCACTACCCTACTTTCCTCATAACAACTCTTGGTAAAATACCCCAAGACACTACTAAAGTCACCTTCAGACTTCACAATGAGGCAGCCATTAATAACTTAACAACAGCAGTAACAAACATTGACTGGCACACTGAGCTAGAAATCTATACAGATTTTGACGAATTTTTTAATATTTTCAAAAAAGCCGAATACCTTTAAACAAGATGCCCAAAAAAAAACTAAACAGAGCAGCAAAGAGACTGAACAGCCCCGGTAACCCCCAGCATTCCAAATCCAAAAATACAAAACACCATATGAAAAACAGTACAGAATGGGTCACATAACCAAGACCAAAAAAAACTATCTCAATCCAAACCCCACCCCGAAAAGAAGGGCAAAAAAATGTTTAATGAGAAAGATTATCCACTTCGAGGTGATTAAAAAAAGCCCGGGAAACCCCTACAAAAATTTCGGAACAAAAAAGTTCCACATAGCGAAATAAAATTAAAAAATCAATAAACCCCAAACCCCCCAACAAAACAGCAAACAGACCAATGATTTCTTCCCCATAGGTCAAAACCTTGCCATAATATCCCAACTCAGATACCCCCCCAAAATACACCTCCGGCAACTCCCCAACACACTTTTCCTAGCTCCGATAACCCAACAATCCCCTTATTATCAACGCATGAAAAACAAGCAAAAATTTTAAATACCTTACCCCCCTTTTATATACAAAAAAGCATCACAATACATCCCCAAATCTTTTCCAACACTTTTTAACAATCCATTGAATCCTCCCCCTTCCACAGTTCCAAAAAGAAAGGGGTCACCCCGATCCATAAAGGGGGAGCCCAAAAACAGATTTGAATAACTAAGGCCAATACCCAATTTCACCCTCTCTAAAAAATTTTTCAAAAAAAATTAATTCAAAAACCAAACCCACCCCTACCCACTCCCATAACATTCTAAAACCCCCGCCAATTTGGATTCGGGCCAAATAAAAATACTAATGTGTATTATACCAGCTAGAACATATAACACTGAAATAAGAAAAAAGAATCCCACTGGGATTTCATTGCTTACAAAAGCTTTTGATACATTTAAACCATGACTTGCTCCATTTAAAAATTTGTCAACAGGTATTGGGGGGCCCCCCCAAACTACCCCAAGTCTTACCTCAGCAACAGAAGCCAATATGTGTAGCAAAAGGGGGCAAGCTTTTCCCGCACAACCAATTCATTGGTGTCCCCCGGGGAAGTGCCGGGGGCCCTCTTCTTTTTCCCTATACATAAAGCCCTACCAAATGCTTCGCAATTACCAAACCCAACTTTTTGCAGATACACCACATACGTCTTCTCTCACCCGACCCCAGTCACGCAGCCAATACTGAAAACACCGAATTACAGAAAATATTACCTGGATGAGACTAAACAAACTTACACAACATGACAAAACCTACTTTTTTCATTTTGGTGCAGAGCTACAGATGTACCCTTTTAAAATAACATAAATGGTCACCTACACAAGCAAAAAGAGGGAAAATTCTTAGGGAAACCACCTCGATAATAACCAAATTTCATACACATATACAACAAATTTCTAAGAAAATTTCCCCAAAACTGAGGCATACTATTGAAAAACGTACTATTTCCACAGTCAGCCCTCCTGGCCCTTTTTCACTCCTTATTTACCCCTATCTCACCCCCGTGAATTTGTGCATGGGGCTCAAAAACAAAAACCATCTCAGACCACTAATT